GAGAGACCTATAAATGGATGGTTTGGATGTAGAGCCATATGCCTAGCACCTCCCTGTTAGGAATGGGGAGGCTGGATTGTCTAATGATATTGCAGACTGCAAAATCGTCATTTTCCTTTAAGATATAGTTTGGTTGCCTGATGTAATAATATATTGTAACATGATGCTTTTACAAATAACTTCAGAAATCCAAAGAGTAATAAAATACATATATTTAAATTTAAATATATGTATATGTATACTGGCTTGGTTGGATTTATTTATGTACTCCTCTCTGTTTTGTAGGATCTAGAACAACTTTTGAATTATATCGGGACAAGAAGTTTAGGGCCACGTCACGTACTTGCAAATTTGAAGGAGCTATTGAGAACCATTCTTGCTCCGGAGTACACGAATACATGAATTGTGATTGTTCACTTTACAAGTTTGATTGTAAGCTTTTGTAGATATATGGTCGCTAATTTTGAGCAGGAGCTATTGAGAACCATTCTTGCTCTGGAGTATATGGATACATGAATTGTGATTGTTCACTTTACAAGTTTGATTGTAAGTTCTTGTAGATATATTATATGGTAGCTAATTTTGAGCACTTGTAGCCATTTCCCCTCCTAATTCCTACATTGAGAAATGCAACATATCAGCTTTGTAAAAAGAGATTGCAGTTTAGTGCTCTGATATTATTTTTAATACATTGCTTGAGCATTACTGTCCTACGTGTTTTAATGCAAATTATCAACAAGTTTGTTGAATGCTTATAATTTGACTCAAGGACCATTATTTTACAAGAATAGACTATATTGTATATTAACAGGGACTTGATAGTGTATGAAAGGGATTTTTATACATTAGCTAATAACTACGTGGTAGTAGTAATGGAAGGAAATGCAGGGCTGCAGGCCGAGTTCAAATTAGCAGCAACAACATTCAAACCTTAATCCCAAATGAATTTGGGGTCGGCTAATATGAATCGATTTATGATATCGATGCTAAACAGAGAAGACAGACAAGAAGAGAAAACAAGAATAGAAAAGAAAAAAGAAAAATAAGGAAGATAAAATGGATAAATAAAGACAAATAAATATAAGATAACAATAACATAAGAATATAAGAATGATAAAATATATAAAAAGATAAAAGAGCATAAAAAGTTATAAGATAGAAATAACATAAGAATATAAAAAAATAAAGAAGATAAACGATAAAAAAAAAAGAGGAAAGGTGGAAAAAACATCAATTGTCACACGGATGTGCGTTCCCCACTTTGCTCTCTCCAAAGTCATATTCTCAGCGCCTGAGAACAACACTCGGCCTGCTAATTTGAACTCGGCCTGCAGCCCTGAAAATCGCGGACCACGAAGTCGTGCAGTGTGGTTTGAGCATTGTTCCGTTCCCCTCCAAATGTTCAAACCGTGTGTTGGGGTGCCCTAAAGTGGGTCAGGCTATACAGGCTATATTATTTTTAGTTTTTACGCTAAAAATGCCTTATTTTAGCTTAAACGCTAAATCACAAAGTTCATGCTTAGTATTTGGGACACATATCTTACTGTATGTTCTTGTATTTCAAGCGTATTATATCTCGTTGGAGAGATCATTTTTAATTCTAAAGCTATTGTTCCGATTCAATTTACAATCCATTGAGTATAAGGTAATGACTGACCTGAAATTCACAAACATTTCCGATTTCATTCCGAACACGTGTAGAAATTGATGTGATCATAGCTTGATGTATTTAGTTCCGTTTTGAAGCATTCTCTACGTCGTTAGAAAGATCGTATCGAGTTCTGGATTGCTTTGAACTTCTCTACATCTTGTGGAGTATTATGTATCATATTCACTTTATCTTGCATCTACTATCACAAAGAAGAGTTTAAACCTGAGTAGTGAGGATGTTTGAAATTGGACTGTAATTTTTTAGATTGGTCTGGTCTGGTTTGAACTGATCTGGTCTATAAATGTGTGTTTTATGTATATTTTACAACTGGTGAACTCTAGTATGATCCGGTTTGTTTTAGTCTGACATGAGACTCTTGAACCTTTTTTGAAAATATTTTCACACTTGAAATGAGTACAATTAAAAGCATCCTAAAATATCACAGTGATGTGGTGTCAAACACAAATCTTGTTACCTATTCAAGAATCAAGGCACCGAAAGAATCGTTGAGAGAATACAAATAAGGTATAAGTGTTGAGTGGTAGTGAACTTCAAAGCAGTTAAGAGTTTTAAGCAGTGTTTGCATTTGCTTTTGTAAAGCACTTTTCAACTTTTCAATTGAAAAAGGCTGTCCAATGTGTTTGCAAAGACAAAATTCTGCTTATTTGGAAGTGCTTTTGGGCTAAAAGCTGATGCAACCTTATACATGCTTTTAATAGCTTCTTAGTATTTTGGTAAATATTTCAAACTTTATGGATATTTATTAGGTTCAATTAAACCCAAATTACCCTCCCCCACCCCCATATAAAAACACCAGATTATAAGAATTTTGCCGACGAGGCCATAGGCCATAGTTAACCTGATTACACCTAAACATAAGTATCAGATTGTTAGAATCTTTATTGAATCCAATTTGTTTTGGAACATAAGCACAACTTCCTTTCTTCATTTTCATCGATCATGCTCTGTTTTGGTGAGAGTTGTGGTCCCGTGGAAGTACGGAGAACATAAGGTGAGAGTTGTGGATAACGGAGAACATAATATTACAAGGACATTTTTGTATTTTTATAAACATGTTACATCACAATCATTTTTTTTTATCAAATACTTCAACTTTTACATTTTAATTATAATAACTTCTATTTCCAAACACTATCTACTTTTACTACAAATCACTTTTTCAATAATCTCTTAAATAAATCACTTTTGAAAAGCAGAAGCAAACCCAAACATAGCCTTATTCATTTTAGGCACTTGTGAATAGGGAAAGCAGGAGCACAAATGGTCATTAAAGTTTGAAGAGTTTATCACATGAGTGATTCAAAAAAATGAGCGGTATTATTGTCCTTGCTGATTCGCAATCGAGAGATGTTACAAATATATAATTTAGGCATCTTAATTTTTTTTACCATGTACATGTTGGTTGCGATCCCCAGGGCCCAGACCAGCAGGGGTTCTTATTTTCTTATGGGCCCGATCCCGGGACCTATAAATATGGCAACATTGTAAATGCCATATTTTGAATAGTTTTTGTCTATGTTGCACGAAAACGCGAAAATCACGATGAAACGAGAAATGGAAAACGTCAACTTTTGCTAAAAACGCTTGTTTGAAAAATTTTTCAAAGAGTTTCCATTGAGTTTTTGAAACGGAAAGTACTCTTTCTCGAGAGTTTCCGTGCTACATAAGTCTTTGTCACTCCATTTCTATATATAGTTAGCTACATACTTTTATCCCTCACCATGAGGCCATGAGGGTGACCCACGTGTACATATGTATATACACGAGCATTTCTAAAAAAAAAATGCTCATGTCTATTTTTTTATACACGAGCATTTCTCATTTTCAATTAATGAGAAATATTCTTCTCTTCATTCTTTTGACATATGAGCCTGATTTTATAAGGGTTACTCCGGAGATTAACTCAAAAAGCATGATCAAAGGACTAAAAATGACCACAAGACTTGCATAAATAGCACTAGGGTGGTCGTTCGAGATTGTTGGAAGCTTTCCAAGGAATAGCTTTTAGAGAATATGACAATGGATTAGAATTGAAATGGTAGGAAAACATGATTAAAATGAAAGGTATCTATTGAAATTTTCATGATCAAAATATCTGCATACCAACGAAGATATTCCGAAGAAGAAAAAAGGAAATTAGTTGTCAGGGACTGGACCGGCCAGTTTTGGTCTCCAAAATTCACGAACCCAGGATCGGGCAACAAACCGCTCACCCTGGTGGCCTGGTTACAGTTCTAACCGGGAATCGGACGATTGGTCCCAGTTATAAAACATTAAACTACTCCGATCTAGTACCGTGGACTAGCGCCTCTAGTCCTCTACTTTCATCTAGGCATGGCCCGGGCCCGGAACCGGTCCATCACTACTTTCATCTACATTTCGACAAGTCATGTCTGTGAGGGCTTGTGCATGTGCCAGCGACGATGAAGTGAAGATGTTAAATGTGGCGTCGAAGGTAGCGTAGCAGCATTTTTCTTCTGCTTCTTTTTTAGGGGGTGTTTGGAACTGATTCTGCTTCTGCTTCTTTTTTAAAAGCAGAAGCAGAATCAGAATCAGTTTTCATACCCCCAGCTTCTAAAAAACTGATTCTGAGAGTAAATTAGAGCTCCGGAAGTGCTTCTGGAATTTCACCCAAACACTCCAGTTTCTGCTTCTGCTCCCTGAAGGAGCAGAATCAGTTTTGAGAATCACATCCAAACATCCCTTAATGATGGTTCAAGTCGTAAGAGGGGATAAGAAGAGTCCCCACTGTTATAACTTATACCATAATTTACATTGATTGTTACTGATTGTGAATTTGTGATTTATCACTAAGCCAGCGAAGCCACTTTTACTTTAAAATGAATATTGATGGCTCAAGTCATGGACGTTTACCGAAAAACTGTCCAATACAGAAAATATTGATTCATTAATCAATATACTAGAGCAATTTTGTTCCAATTTTTACATATTTAAAGCCCTTAAATTTTAAATCTGATGTACTAAATTTATTGTAAATTTCCATGGGAATTTGACCCAAGACAAGATTTGAGGAAAGAAACGATAGTATAAGAATAGAATGGCAATAAGAAACTTATATTAATAAAGCAGCAGAGGGTATTGCATCAAGCAACAATGTTAACTTTGTGTAACCGTTGTATTGGAGCCATGACATCATTTCCTGAAATGTATCAAACATAAAAAGTGACCGGTTTATGGCACATTTTTAGACGCTGTTTTGAACCATTGGGAAGAACACAGTGCTATGAAAGTTACATTAACTAATTATGATATCGTACCTCAATTTCTTCCCATTCTATTCCAACCCCATCATCAAAGCACAAGTTAACCCTCATTGCTTGTATTTAGATAAAATCATAAAATAATGAATGATAAATAAATAAGTTCTATAGGCAAACATCTTCACAATGTTATAGCATCTCTGAACTAAAAGTGTACCGAGGGAAGCATGATCTATAAGAATCATAAACCATAAAAAAGTTGTGGTGCTTTCCAGTGTACAAATGACCTACTACATGTGCCAAGGCTGTGAGAGGGTCAACAGCAACCACCCAGACAAAAATTCTAAGACATTCATTCGATGCACTTTCAGTAGATCTCTGTTCTCTCCAGGCTCAAGCCGGTAACGCGAGCTTTGTGTTGTTCTTCCAGCTGCATACATCATATAGCCTTGTCAAGAACGGTATATCCATGAGTGCAGATGGGGGGAGCCACCGGAGACCACCCCAAATACTGAAAAACTTTATTTTTTTCATGTGCAAAATTTTAGTGTTTTACATAAATGAATTCTTTTTCAGTTTATTTTTTCTGGCTCATCCCGGAGATTTTTTTTGGAATCCTCCAATTGTTGTGTGTATGAGAACAGCAAATGCAATTAATGTTTTTACCTTTGGAAGTAGTAGTAGAAGAAATCAGCATAAAGCAATGTCTGAACAAGGCCTGATATCCAAGCTGCATTTTGAAGACACATGCCAAAGTGTGTTACATATATACATTATTGACACACGCCATAGAGTTGGCATATGTTCTGAGTTGAAATTGAATGACTGCACATCAAAGCAATAGAAAGAATGTCCAGTTTGTCAACATACTTATCCAATGAACATAGTGAGGCTCCGTGAAGTAGCGATAAATCCAGTTTAAAATGTACAAGGAACGATATGCCCTGCAAAGAGATTGCAAAGTTAAAAGTTGATCCAATGACTACTAAACACTACTTTCTAGAATCATAACAAAAAATACTTATTCGTTAAATAATAAAACTAATAGCAGCGTTACACAATATGCATAGTAAAGTGGAAGGAGATTAAAAATTGAAAACGATATGAGAAAAAAAAAGACAAGTATAACTACTAGCATATGAATGTGTTTAGTGAACCTACCTTATCCTTTCCACACACACACTACTACTAACCTCGGCATGTTGCCGTTATCTATCTAGGTATGCACAGGGTGTCTATGACGGAGTATAAATTATGTAAATTAGTATTCATCTTAAAAACTTAATATGTCTATTCATATTAGCCGACCCCAAACTCTTTTGGGATTAAGAGTTGGATGTTGTTGTAGTATTCATTTTTACAACTTTGGTATCTATCTTCGTTATCATATACTGATATACGTAGTATTAATCAATATATTCATTTTAACGAACTTCAAGTTAAATAACAAATAAAGAGCAGAAATATTACTATGCATTTGATTACTAAAGGACCTATAGAAAATTTAGTGACATTTCTAGATATTTTATAATATCAATCTTTTCATTTGATAGGTTTTTAAAGATAAGTGAGCACGACAGTGATGATCACAAAGCAAGCACGCCCACATTTGCTTGCACTGTTGAATTAGTAAGTCATTAATTAATATTATAATTATGTTATATTTGGTTCATCAAGTACTTCTAAATTCTAATTTAAAATAGTATCATTCATAGTAGCGTTTTGGTTTTAGCATTTCAGGTTCCCCCATTAGACCAGAACACATTTAATTCCAAGAAAAATAAGATTAAAATAAAATACACCCAGCAAGAACCTTTTTTAAAATCATATAACCAGATAGGAAAGTACAAGGTGAATTCATCATTTATGCATGAAACTTGACTAAATATATAAAATTGAGTTTTAAAATGATCTTTGCATTCAGATTGTTTGTTTATAACTTAACTGAAAAAGTCTACTAAATTACATTTTAAAGGAAAATATTACAATGCCTGAATAGTATTATTTCATTAAAAAATATGTTCAATTGAACAAAGTGGTAATTATACAAATGAACTGAGAGCCATTAGATACCCAGCATATATAGCATCTACTTGTTCCCCCTCCCACCCCAAAACAGAACCCAATACATCCAAATATAATATAAAGAAACACCATGTTAGTGCTAATTTAAGTAAATGATAATAAGTTGAGAGCAATTAACATCACTATAGCTTATTAGCTTGTTGATAGATATAGAAAAGGATCAGAATTAACCCCAAGAGCAAAACATATTGGCCAGTCAAGTTGTCAATGTTTCTTGTCCTCTGCAGCAAGACTAGCTGAGGCAGAATCGCAACAGCTTCCAAATATATGGAGAAGGTCCACATAACCTTGTAAATCACATGAAAGAGATACATTATATGAAAGTAAGTGAACGATGGAATTTACATAAGCCCACATGCAATTGTTAATGAGATTTTCATAACTACGAGTCTACAACCATGTTTTGAGAATCTCAATCCATTACCTACGAAAAAGCATTATTGAAGAATGCAGGTAATCCATCTTTAAAGGAACACATAAATACCTCTTTGAATGTAAACTTCTCATGTATGAGCAAAGCCAAAAGTAAGCACGGGAGAATCAGGAAGTAGTGGCGAAAAGTGTCTTGGTCTTTATCATATGATCTCCGAACAATTTTGTGATGCCGTATGTACCAGACAATTGAGAAAGAGCTTCCTAAGAATATCAATTTCATCACAGTGTTATAGAGAGAGACATAGTCTGTGAATATATCCAAGTAGCGAGCAGCGAAAACAATAGCATATAATTCTTGCGTCTTTAAAGAAACACCTGCACATAGCACAATATTCAATATTAGATGGCAAGAAAGGAGGCACATAACCAAAGAATTGCATTATAAGTTTAATTATTAGCGTTAAACTATATTACACCGATCAAATATTACCGGGTTTACTTTTTATGATGGACCTTTGAAGTGTTAATACTGTACCAATATTGATATTAGTTGGTCTGCCTAGCACAACACCTCTTGTATAACATCTTAAAATAGTCCTAGACTGACTAAATATAACGATACCCAGATATAAGATCTTATAGAATGAAGTATGGAACTCCAAATCTCAAACTCGGGCCCGCCCAGAGCATGTCAAATCACACAGGGCTTCTAAAACTTTGAGGCCCATTTTACAAAAAGTTGTTATCTCTCATAATGTATCATCCCAATTTGGATGTATACTCTCTCTCTCTCTCTCTCTCAAACTTCATCCATGAAGTTTGCTGTTTAAGAGATACAGGAAATAGTACAATGTCCCTTTTTAAGTGAAGCTTGAATGGCTTTAATTGATTAATCGGTTAATTATGACATACTATCTATATAATTAATCGTTTGTTATCATGACTTCTATATTTGTACTTGTATTAGAAGGACTCATACTACGTGTTATTTATTGAATAGGACACCTGTTTTCATAGGACCGGCCCTGCTTAAACTAAGATACTACAATATCTTCAAGAAGCAAAGTGGTTTTAAATACATAGATCATTTATATTCTTCTTCTGCTCCAACTCCAGGCCTTAATAAGGAATTGTTTAGCTCATCCGTTTTGAATACCAGAAGACTTGCAAATCATAAAAGAACATACTATAAAGCAGTCAGAGAGTAACAGGTCTGAAACCCAGATGCTATCTCATTCACGCGTGAGCCCTGCCTATGGTATGCCTAAAAATAGGGGAGTAGCAGTATCGTTCCATCTCATACAAAATTCTAGACCCGGAAATGGAAATCAAATGCATCAAACCCGCAATTCAAAACAAAGAAAAACATACTACCAGCCCAAAACGAGCACTCCCCAACATCTAAACAATGAGGAATACATCTAAACAGGAAGTCCCCATAGTTAGCTCATTCTTGCTCTGTTTAATTTCTTTAAATATATAAAAGGACCAGAAAATTGTAAAGCGATTTATCACAAACAGATTCACCACTGCATAGAATATATGAATTTGCAAAAGTTTCTAGAAACGGTGCTCTAATACATACCGGCGCATGATTTGATGGTGTGGATCTTGAGAAGCAACACCAGCACGCTTGCCAAATGGGTCATATCCCCCGCTAATCTGAATATATTCATGTTTCCGCTCTTTACCAAAATCTCTTTTTGGCTGTTTCACTTAGCTGAATCGACCAGAAAACGCCCAGAAACGCCCGGTTCTGAATTAGATCTAGGTAGTCCCGAGCAACCACCCGCAAATATTGAAATGAAATTAAAAAAAGAAAGTCCAGAAACCTCTTGTTCTGAACCAGACAGGTTATGTTAGTGAGTCACGCGCGCGATGATGCGCCAAATGAAACATAGGAGAAAACAGTCCCTATTCGTTGGATAATAAATTTGTTCTTTTTACATGAATGAATTTTCTTCAAAGGAACATGATTTTTTATGCGATGGATAACAATGAAAGGAACATTACGTGAGCTTCATTTCCATGTATTTCCATAATTCCTTACATATTTAGTTTTCATATTCATTATTTGGTTAACTGAGCTCTTTTAGGGTATTATCATAGAAAACGTCTATGATAAAATTGATAACATTAAAATGGGTTGAATTGGCTGATTCTGCTGAAATTGATGATGTTCTGGCTGAAGTGGTTGTATTGACTGATTTTGTTGATTCATAAAAAAATTATAATTAAAATATTTGTTATTAATAAATAAAATAAAAAATTATATAAAAAATACTACGAGTAGCTAAAATGATCGTCTACAGTAACTTCAGCCAATACAGCCAGAAAGTAACTCCAACATTATTTTTTGCTCATTACATAATTATGCGCGGGAAATCAAAAGTTACGTGTTTCGTGAAAAAGCTGGCTGATAAGCCGAAAAAAAGATCACCAAACGGGCTCATAATTTCTTTTTTTATAAGCTCAGTTTTTGCTATTCAATGGAATAAAATTTAATAATTAAAAGTAACTAAACATCACTCCAAAGAAATTCAAATGTTCATTCGATCACTAGTCCAACATTCATAATCTCTAAATGAAAAGCTTATCCATATCAATTATATATTTACTTAAATTATTTTTCTTCTATAATATTATTTGTTCATTGACTTTCACGTGAATTAATAAAGTAAAAACTGTGTGGTTGAAATTTGTGCAACGGGAGAATTAACTTTAGTCACATATTCCTTTAAATGGAAATGACAAATCTTTTTGGGACATCCAAAAAAGGAAATTTGGCCAACCTTTTCGGGACGGGGGGAGTACTATTTAATCCTTTAATTTTATGTCGCTGCTACTTTAACTGTACCTTTTTAACTTTTTGTTCTCTTTTTCATAAATTATCATAAATAGGACTAAAACGTTTGTATATTTCAAAATAGGATTATCATTTTTTTTATTCCCAAAATAGGACTAATTACTGTCATGTTTTGACAGTACCAGACTTTAAACATGACGATATTTTCCAAACTTGACAGTAATAACTCCTATTTTGGGAATAAAAACATGTGACTCCTATTTTCAAATTTTCAAACTTATTTACTCCTATTTCGGGAACTTTTCCCTTTCATTCATTTGTCTTCTTCTACTTTTACGCTTGTTTCCCCTCACTATTTTATTAATTTATTTTTAATCACCGTATAATAATTTTAATTAATGTGCTTTTGTAATTTGTAAATTATGTATTCTTATAACTATATTGTAGCATTAAAATATTATGACAAGTAATGACTAAAAATTACGAAATACTAATTAATGGTCATTATTTTTTGTTTTTATTGTTTGTACAACAACTATAACTACTACTATTAGTATTATCCTTATGATTATGATTATTATTATTAGTATTATTAATTATGTAATTAATTAACTTTTAATAAAAACGCTTCCGAACTGGAACCGTTCGGTTCTGAACTGGAACCGGTGCTCCCGAAGAGAAACCCGCAGTTCATGTTCCAAATTTTCATAGAACCGAATCGGACTAGGGAACCTTCGGTTCGAAATCGGAGGTACTATGTGGTTCCGGTTCTAAAACCATCGATTCTGGTTCCAGTTGAACCTTAAACCGCGGACAGGTCTATGACTCCATCCCGCTAAGATTGTCCAATTTGTCTTTTCGCTCCGCAGGGGCGGATGCACACTATTGATAAGGGGGGCAGCTGCCCCCAATAACTCTCCATAACTCCATATATTATATTAGGAAAATTTTTAGCCCACTTAATTGCCCCCAATAAAAATAACTAAATGCCCCCAGCCCCCATGTATCTAATCCACCCAGCTCTAAAAATAAAATACTCGGTAACTCAATGGCAAAATTACTTCGTAGACTTCAACTTTCGTTAACAGCTAAAACAGGGAATTCTAAATCGTGCATTAAATATGAGTATTAACTCGCATTCTAAATTGTACTTCAGCTCCTCGGCAAAGCAATAGTGCAGGTTACTCACGTTTTCTTTTAACTCCATTAAGTACGGAGTATTAACTAAATAACTGCGTAGTAGATGAGTAATTAATTGTTACCATGCCAAATTGAAATGAGACAACCAGGACGGAGGTAGTAAGTTGATTACAGCTTAATTTCTAAAACAGAACTGAATGAGTCATATTTTGGGATACAATAATGATAGTCTTGTTTGTGAATTTTATCATTGTTTTAGTCCTATTTAGTCTTATTTAGGTTTTCTCGTGTTATTGTGTATTTGTGGTAAACTATTAAAATTAGTAGGAGGAGAGATATTGAAAGTTCATCAATATTCACTTGATAAAGAGACAAAAGAGAACATTAGTTATCAAAAACTTAAGGGAAAATTCCCGAAATAGCACTAAAATCATTTGGAAATTCCAAAATAGGACTGTCAACTTTTTATTCTCTAAATAGGATAATTACCGTCAAGTTTGGAAAACATTGTCATGTTTAAATTCTGCTACTGCTAAAAAATGACATTAATGACACTGTCATGTTTTTATTAAAAACATGATAGTCATATTTTGAAATATACAAACATTTTTAGCCCTATTTAAGGTAATTTCCCATAAGCTAATTAAGTTATTTTATCAGATTTTATGGACATTTTTTTGAGAAAAACACCATCTTCAACATTGGAATAAGATCTATTTGGAACTGTCATAAATAAAACTATATATATTAGATCTCTTAACATTTTCTCTCTTTGTTGTGCCCCCAACACTTCCGTTTCCTGGATCCGCCACTGTCGCTCCGTCCTACTAAGATTGTTCCATAACAATTGGTAAAATTTGTGTGGTTTTAAATCATTTTTACTTTATTCTTATATTATCAATTCAATATCAATCACATGAACACACATTTCTTAATAATCGTGTCGCTCCTCATGTCCTAATGTTAGTAGGACGGATATAGTATTTGAATATGGAGAAAGCGCGCTCTACATACTTGTATACTTGTACTCCCTCCGTACCGCTATGATTGTCTCATATTACCTTTTCGGTCCGTTCCACTAAGATTGTCTCATACCTTATTTGGTAAAATTTGTGTGAGCCTAAATCATTCTTACTTTATTCTTACTTTATCATTTCAATATCAACCACATAAACCCACTTTTATTAATAACCGTGTCATCTTCTCTTGTCCCAAACTTAGGGGGACGGAGGTATTATATTATTCGGAGAATCCAATTTTGTTTTGTTTCTATGTGTGATGAACCGATTAATATATACTTGGTAATTGGTATTTCATTCAGTGGCGGAACTACGTAGGTCGGAGGGGCGTGTGCCCTGCTGTGTTGACATGTTGGCTGCTGCCCATGCTTGGAATGCGGATGAGGTGTACGTCCGAAGGACTTTTTTAGATAGACTTTGCTGGACTTTTGTGGGGTGGGGTTAAAATGGGGGGATAACTTTAATGAATATGTAGAATTATACGAGTAGCTTGGATTATAAAGTTATGTTGCTCCTGAGTATGATCAATCATGGTCAGTTGTCACCTATTTTATTAGGTGACAACTCCGGTACCTTTCTAAAAAGGTATTGTACCTAGCATTCATTTGATTGGACCACATCACTTTATCAATTTTAATTTAGATTTAAATAATTCAACTGTTACCTTTTCATTGATCCATGTGAACAAAGGTACGGTACCTTATGGGTACCATAGAAACTATCATTTTATTATATCAACATCTGTACGTTCCATATTTATTAGAAGGCAAACATACTACGTGTCAGTTTATTCTTTTCGTATAGTTAGGTATGTATGTGTATAAATTGCTACTAGTACATAATTTGTGTGGACTAAACACTTTGGATCGGATAAACTAACTAACTTGAATTAAAGTTATTTTTATGTTATTAATGATTTAACGCACAGTTATTCATCATGGGGTTCTTGATAAATTGAGCTAAATTCAGCACGATGATTAAATCATGAGAAAAGAATATGGACGATTGAGTGCTAAAGACATGTGCTGGAATCAAGCCAGGAGAAGGAAAATAGAATCAAAGGAAAAGGCCTTTTTGCATGAATACTACTCAATTAAATTTAAAGGAAAAAATACAATTTATTTTAAAAAAATCTGAAAAAGATACATATTCAGTGACTAGTTCTTAGTGGTCACTCTGAAATACGCTGTAGTGACTCTTGTTCAATTACCCGTACATAGTGAGTAGTCATATTTTTGTCCAAGAAACATAACTAGTCATAGTTTTGTCAAAGGGAACTCTATTAATAATAATATACATGTCATTTTTTCCGATATTTATTACAATCCTCAAGCCACTGAATTAAAAATAAAAATAAAATAAAATAAAATAAAAAGCTGCTCGCATTGCCGCCTTTCGGAAACCTCTGTTGTGCAGCAAGCCAAAAACATAACGTAAGTGTATAATAATTTGTAAGTAATCCTTTCTCACCTTCACCACAAAAACACTTGCAGGGATTATATTTAACAGTGTATTGTCATTTATTCTTATTCTACCAACATGGTAACTTAAATGATGGGTTATATTTAACTGTGTACTTGTTCAATTATTGTATACACTATAATTAGGAAAAACTTAAGGTTGGGGCAGCAGAAATCAGACAAACACAAGGGCCGGATGCTGTAGTTGACAAGAATGCGTTGTTTTTGAAAATTGTGCCACCGAACCGGGGAAGGCTTATGGGAGTGGGCTCTCTTGCCCCACATTTTTTGAGCACAGGATCTTTGAGGCCTAAACATTGTGTGTCATCCGACCAAGACCGCATTGATAAACTCGTTGCAATAGTGGAGAGTTGCCAAACAGAAGTGAAGCAATTGCGAGAACAAATAAAAATGCAAGGGAATAATATGGGGCCTTCATCTGTACACCCATACCCATGGTATGGGGGTGTTCAGCCTTCTTCCGGAATCCCCCAACAGATGCCTTACATGTTTCTCCAACAAGGACAGTCTACTTTGCCTCAACAAAGCCAACTCGC